CTTATGGTAAGGAAAGTTTAGATAGTTTCCTACTCTCACTCAACCAGCGTGAAAGGAACATTATGTCCACAATGGAAATGAAAGAGAATTAGTCGTTACCCTATCTGGATGTTCTCATCATTAGAGAAGAACGAAGTTAGGAAGATATGTTTATAGGAAGCAAACATATGTTAGCTCTGTTTAATTTTATTTCCAACCATAGTTACACGACTAAGGTTGTAATTTTGAACTCAACTTTTATTAGAAACATGAGGCTAGCGGATAGTAAACATTTGACTAGAGAGTTGTAACGACTGACAAATTTATAACAGGAAAATAATTGTTCTTTGAGCCTTATTGGGAATAATATCTCTTTACTGAGGAATACATTTTCAGGTGGAGATCATTTAGTCAGAGGTAGACATGCTGAGACCTTTTCCAATGTCCTAATTTTGCCGTCATACCTTCTTTCAAAAAAAGATAGCGAATTAATGAGTAAGTGAGACATAAAAACAGTGTTCAAGGATACCCTTACTTTCTTCTGTTATGCCATCTTTTAGAGGGAAATATGACCCATTATCGAGATCCAGCTGCTACAAGATTGTTTGTTCAAGTGGTCGATCGTATGTTGGCGAGACATTCCGACCTATTCGACAAAGATTGAGGGAACAAAAAATGCTTGTAAGAGAGGCTGGGTCCAGCGGTCAGAAGTGGCCGAATACATGGCAGCGACAGAACACGAGATAGAATGGTCACAAACTCGTAGGTTTGCTGATTATGGTACCTCTGAGGGTAAAAGCAAGATAAGAGAGGCTATTTAAATTAATAGCTTGGGAAATACGTTGAAGGTGTGGAACTGTTGTAGAAAGTTAATTATTAACTATTTATGCTTGATTGATAGATGGAATTGAGCCACCATCCAAAAGAAGGCGACTCAACTTGTCTGCTCGTTAATGATTCTAACTTTACTCACACTCGTCCAACATGTTAGAGTAAGCTCGTCAACCAAATTAGACGTGCCAGATTATGCAGCCTCAGTCGTTCCTTGATGCGGATGGTTAAACGTTAATGCCTCCAGATTGAGGAGTTAGGATAAGTGGCTTAGTAACTTGACCTACATGCTTACAAGCTTATATTTCATTATCTCAACCATACACGATTACAGACTTACACAGTCTCGGTCAGGGCTTATCTTTTGGGTCATTAAGCCTTGATGATCAGAGCCTGACATTAATCTTTTGATAACTATGATTTAGAACCTGTATTGCGTATAGACGCTAACACACACATATACACACACACATACGTGCAAAAGTAGCAGGACCAGTATGAAAGATCATTAGCCAAGCCTCTCTATATCTATATAGGTTTTTTATTTTCTTTTGCTTAATTGTGTCTATAAAAGGGAAGATAGAGCCGGATAGTCTTCCTGCTCTATTGTTAACGTGGGACTTTTTCAGGAATGAGAGCCAGCTCTGATGATGTCCATCATATGATGGACGAAAGCTAAGCCTATTTTTATCCCAAACGAAGAAGGAGTTCTCGTGGACTGCGTCAACTTGAACGGCTACAGTACAACGGGATTTAGCCTTCCTCTTCTGGTGAGATCGACCTACGAATCTCTTCTTCATGAACTTACATACGAAATGAAAGTCCCCCCAAATATGAAATGTTCTTGTCATATACTTTTGCTAGTTGATATGTTATCTTAATCATTCATTAAGTTACAACATAGTTACAACTCAATACAAGCCGTTTATTCTATTATAGATTGCTGTGATCAGTATCGCTTCTTTCGTTTCTTTTAAAGCTCACTCCATTATTGTTTACTTAAAAAATCGAGTAGACCCATTTTTCTTGGTTTCATTCATTATTTATTCTCTACTTTATTTATTGAGGCTTTTGATCTTGCGTCATCTATTTACTTACTGTCCTCAACATGTTCAATAATACTGAAGCAGCAATAATTCTACTGAGGTTGATGATGTTATTTTATGGTAGCCCTCTGGCCTTATCTCATTTAGACTCATTAAGCTGATTTATACTTATAGAAACATAATTATAACCTTTTTCTAATAAACTTGCTTTCTGTGATTAGCTCTGTGGAACCCCAACTGTCATTTGTTTATTTCATAGATGATTCACTCGATCGGTCAAGCGCACTATACCTTCGTATTCAAGATTATGCTTTTCCCACCTTTGCCAGTAACACATTGGCTGGAAGTTAGTTAAGTGATATAAATAACTGGACACCTATGAAAGTTGCCGCTTTGCGCAAAAATGGCAATACTCACTGACGAGGCCGAAGAAATTTCTTGCAGTGTACTAAGTTGGTTAGGCCCTGGAAATTATCGTGGCTACTTTTAAGGAGGGCTCCAGTAAAATTGTGTTAATTGGGGTCTCTCTAAAAAACCAATCAAGTTGCGGAAAAAAATCTGGGCTGGTTGTATTTTACAAAATATTGAAACTTCCTCTCATTTAACTTGGACTGAAAGCCTTTTTTTATTGATATCCGCTTTTAATAGTAGTTTTTAAATGCATAACATCATTAAATAAACTTGGAATGCATGCTTTGAATTATCTTTCCTAACCTTAAAAAATTCTATGCTTATAATTTACTCGATGTGCATATATCTTCCTCATGGCTATTACAAGTCTAGGCAAATTTCTTTTGATGATCATATTTCGAGTCCTTAACTTGAATTTTATTCTAAATAAATCGCTATTCACAATAAACAATAGCCTTTTATCTTACTTATTATTTTTAGGGCTCTTGTTAACTCGGTCTCAGCCGTCCTCGAAGAATGCATAAGCTTTGTCGGAGTCGACCTGAATACTGCACCTCTTCATATGTTGACTCGCGTCGCAGGACTTACTGAGACTCGGGCCAAAGCCATAATTGCCTATCGGCAGGCAAATGGTGGCTTTAGGTGCCGTAAACAACTTCTTAAGGTAAGCAGTGCGCTGCTTAAGACCAGGGGTTAATATCTTTGTGGTTTTGAGGGCATGCTAATCACATTATATAATCTACTTCTACTGACTGTTAGGTCTAATTATTAATTTTTGCATTTTCGAATGCTTTCTCGCAGTTTAGATCTTGCTTTATTTGTCTGATTACTTTATCAAGTGTGATCTCATCCTAAATTATTTACGTCTTCGCTTTTGCCCAGACCAGGTTGAGAAAATGTGGTCATATTAAGTAAATACTGTTAAGAGTTCAGTGAGCTTTAATTAATTAGGCTGATTTGGGGATTTAAAGTGTTGTCCATATACACTAACATCACAGGAGAAAAAGCACTCACCGCACTACTGGGGATCTTAGAAAAAGAAAATGACATCCTGGAGACAGAGCGAATGCGTAGAGATTCTCTAACCCGATTAATCGACCTAACAATAATAACGACCTATTTCACGTTCCACGGCTGCATCTTTCTGTAAAAATTTGGTCAGCCTATGAGCTCACCAGTCTCACCTTTATTTTCTAATGTCTTAATGGACAAGTTGGAAGAGAATTTCAAAATGTCACTCAAGTAGCCAACAGTAATTATACAATATTTGGATCACTACTTCACAATTTAATCGCATGGAAGAAAAAAATTAGATGACTTTTTGATCTTCATAAAGGGAATGGATGAAAAAGTCAAATTTAGCATGAATCTGGAAGAGAACGGACATTTACCGTTCTTGGATGTGGCGGTCATTCGCTACGAGTAAAGTCTCAATAAAAAAAATTTCCCAAAGGAATCGCATGCCTGATGAGTCCTACATTCCAGTCGAACTATACTTATAAGAGCAAAGGTTGAAGTATTCCAGATTATGGTCATAAGAAGCTTACATACGAAGAAAAGTTGGGTTTCGAGGAATCTCTTGTTTCATAATTGTTGGGATTACTTCCATTTC